AGAATTCCTCAGCCACCCATGCAAATTCTGGGAGTTGAAATCCACAAGACTTAAAGTTGCCAAAGTTGGACACCCTTGTTTTAAATGGTGATTACGTGGCAGGAAGTGGAAATTTCTGTATTTTTCTGTTGCCATCTTGTGATTGCCCAAATTTTTACAGCTGAGATCAGGTAGAGTTTAGTTAATATCCACTGTAAGGTGTGAAGACCTAAAATAGGGCAAGCATTGAAGTTCAAAGAAAACTGCAAAACAGATAAATAAAATGTGTCTACAGCGACCCTGAAGAATCAAATTAGCATGTGTGGATTTCTATTTACCGTGTCATATAATGACAATTATCACAATCCACATGTCTAATAGCACTTTACACTGTGACACCGAGATCTTTCACTTCATAACAATTACAATAAAATGTGATAATTAGTCACAGAAAATGTTGAGTAACCCTAATCCCAGCCCTAATCCAATAGGGTTACACAAATATTATTTTGGATTTGAAGTCAGAAAGTATTTAGTTACATAGAACTCTTCAGGATTGCTAGATGTATTTGAGAGTCAGACATTGCTCCCACATCTGATGAACAGTGTGGAGTCTGTTTCAATAAGATTTTATTGTTTTAATTGCTGACCCTTCTATACCCAGAGATTATCCTTTTTGCCTACTAACTAAACTTCCTCATCTGATATTTGGCTCCTTTGGCTGTGTCTCCTGAATCAATTCTCAGTATTACTTTTTCTCCAATAACTAAGCACTATAATAACTATGATGAGAGACACAGTGGTTCAGTGGCTAAGACGCTGAGCTTGTCGATCAGAAAGGTCAGCAGTTCGGCGGTTCGAATCCAAAGCGCTACATAATGGAGTGGCCACCTGTTAAGTGACCTAGCTTCTGCCAACCTAGCAGTTCGAATGCACATAAATATTCGAGTAGAAAAATAGGAACCACCTTGGTGGAAAGGTAACAGTCCTCCGGGTGTCTTTGGCATCTAGTCATGCCACATGACCATGGAGAAGTCTTCGGACAGTGCTGGCTCTTTGGCTTGGAAGCGGAGATGAGCACTGCCCCCTAGAGCCGGAAACAATTAGCATGCATGTGTGAGGGGAACCTTTATCTTTACCTATGATAACCTGTCTTCATATCTTTGCTTGTTCATGAAATCCATGCTAGAGACACATCGCTGTTAATCTCCAGCTTTCCTTGGTTCACCTTTCAAAGACATCTGTTGGCTGTAGAAATTCCCCTTTTCCAGCCCCCTATTTACTAGAGCATAGCCCTTCTCCTGTAACACAAACATCTATAGATGTTTGCTCAAATGAGTTGGCTCAAAGATGAAAAAAGGAAACAGGGTTTTAGTCATACATTCTAAATATATACTGTAATATTCCTGAAATATAGAGGGGAAGAGGATGATACTGTCTTCAATTAGATATGAAAGAGGGGAAAAGTCTAATAAGTTTAATAAAAGTACATCTATGATATGACCACTGATAAATTATTGGAAGATCCTTAGTGAATAAGAAGCTATATTAATGCTTTTTAATTCAGTAGTTTCGGTACTTTAGCATGAATATAACCAGAGGCAATTCAAAAATAATAGGTGCCTTCTTGACTTTATTTTATTAATTCACATCTCTGCAAACTGGACAATTTTTCTTCAACCAACGCCTGATCCAGGAACAGCTGCACCATAGTAAAATTGAAATGAATGGAATAGCACTAGCACTTAGACTTATATATTACTTCACAGTGTTTTACAGACCTCTCTAAGCAGTTTACAGAGTCATTGTATTGCCCCCAACAATCTGGGTCCTCATTTTACCAACCTCAGAAGGATGGAAGGCTGAGTCAACCTTGGTGAGATTCAATCTGCCAAACAGCAGGCAGCCGATGATCAGCAGAAGGAGTCTGCAGTACTACACTCTAACCACTGTGCCACTGAAGGAAATAATGTTGTGCCAATTGAAGCAAGTAGAAGCTCAATGTAATATACTGAGAGTCTGAATGCTTTAGAAGACAAGCTCAAGATTCAGAAGGATCTTGATAGACTTGAGCATCGGGCCCTACACAATAAGATGCGGTTCAGTGATGAGAAAAGTAAGACCCTGTACTTAGGCAGGAAAAACCAAATCCATAGTAGGTAGATATATGTTGTACCTGGCCCAACTGCAGTAACTAGGAGAGGGATCTAGTTGTCCTAGTGGACCGCGACTTCATAATGAGCCAGCAGTGTACTGCAGCTGCCAAAAAGGTCAGTGCAATCCTACGATGCATCAAGTCAACAAGAAGAAATAGTACGACTTTATACTGTGCTGATAAGATTCTAGAAAGTGTGCAGAGAGGAGCAACAAAAATGTTGAAAGGATTTGGAGGCTAAATCATACAGTGAACAGTTGAGACAGCTAAGTATCTCTAGCCTATCAAAAGAAGGATGGAGGGGGACATAATAGCTGTCCTCCAGTATTTGAAGGGCTGTCACAAAAAGAGGAGATTGATTTGTTCTTTAGGGAAACAGAGGGAAGGACAAGAAGTAACAGGTGGAAGCTTGTCAAAGACAAATCCAACCTAAAAGTAAGAAGGATTTTTTTTTCTGGCAGAGAGAGCAATTGATCAATGGAATAGCTTGCCTACTGGGGTTGTGGTTGCTTAATCACTGGAGGTTTTCAAAAATAGGCTTGGATGGTACAAGAATGATATTGTAGACTCTATATTGCTGCAAACTTATAGTTATAACCTCCAGTCCAATATTTCAAAGGGAGATGTGTGTCCCCTATGGGGGGGAAATATCTTCACTATAGATTATATGGAACTTTCTTTCCTATCCTGCCAATGACTTAATAATAGAAACACTCAACCATATCTTTGATTCATTTTTCTAGACCACATCTCTTTCATCAATGCAGAATAACCCCTTTTTTCATAGAATTACCCTATTGTCAAATATCTTATGTTCTCTTATGCTTCATCATAATTTTAGTTCTTTGAATCCTTCCATTATTCAAAGTTTGCTTTCAAATGGGAGGAATCTAGGGCTCTTTCCATCTCTTCCCTTGCTTTGTAGCAAGAATGTGTAAAACTCTGCATTCCAATTTCCCCCCAAATGTTTTTCTCCTAGATCTCAAGCTGAGTTCGATGCTGGGTGATATCCAGAACATCACAAATCTCTTTATCTTCATCTTTTGGAAGACACACTTCTGGAAAAGGATGATTCTTCTGGAAGAAAGAGCAAGACTGGAATGTCCACTGGCAGTTGGCCTTCAGGCACTTTTTACAATAGCCCCAATCATGGTAGCAAGTTGCACTGCAAACCCTCCACATCCATACGTGGAAGTGGGGAATACAGCTTGGGTTGTTGGAGCGCAAAGCTTGGAAGGTTACATGAAGTAAGATGTTGGTGATCCTGCTTGTGTAAGGAAGGAGATCCAGCATTACTGTAAACCTTGCTTAGAGGTCTAAGATTAAGCTTACTGATAAAGTTATCTGTATGTTTGTGTNTATCTATCTATCTATCTATCTATCTATCTATCTATCTATCTATCTATCTATCTATCTATCTATCTATCTATCTATCTATCTATCTATCACCTATCTAGCTTTATCCATGTATATTTTTGTTGTTGGTTTTACCTAATTAATTTTTAAAAACTCAAAGAAAAAAATGTAATTATAGTTCGTTGCACAGTCAGCCAGATGTTCAGATTGAATTTGGCATTGCTGACTACCTATGAAGTCCTTTCCAAGGACCTGGGATAGGCAGATGTGTCTGTTTGATGGTGTTATAGATATCCTCGCAGGATGTAAAGCTATTTTGAGTAAAGCCACCTTTTGCAATTGACTGATGGTGATACTCCACTTATTTTGGGACTGCAGCCAAAGTCCCTATTCCTATTGGTATAACTTTGCTTTATTTTGCCACTGTTTGCGGGTCTGTGTATTTTGCTATCTTCATTCTTTCCTATTTTGTTGTCTCCAGATTCTGAGACATTCACTATCCAGATTGTTGATGTTGTTATCATTCAAACTTCAGCCACCTTGGGCCGCTACAAAAATACAGCTGCTCAAGAGTTGTAACAGATCCCGAAGGAACCAGCAAATGCTAAAACACCATTATATATAGAAATGTTATAAAACATACAATCTCCTATCTCCTGCGAAATGGCACAGATTCAGTTTAAATTAATTGTAGAACAAATGTATAGGTCAACTATGCTTATCCAAGCTGGCGTATTCCCCAACATTAATATACACATGGCAGATTTTCATTGGAACTTATGAAATAACTGAAAAAGTTCAGTTCTTTTCCCAGCCAGAACATTAAAAATTCAAAAATAATGATCAGATAATATTTTATATTAGTTTTCTTTATCCCCCCTCCCAATTCCTAATTTGCCCCGTGAGAAAGAAGCTTTTTGCTACTACTTATAATTATTTAACTCTAAGTAGCTCATTAAGCTCAATGTGGGCAGGAAGATGCATCAGAGCTTGTAGAATACAGAATATAAAATAATAGAGTTGAAAAGGATCTTGGAGGTCTTCTAGTCCAACCCCCTGCTCAAGCAGGAGACCCTATACCATCAAACAAATGTCTGTCCAGGTTCATATTTCATAAGACTTGGATAATTTCAAAATGAATTAACCATCAACTTTCATTCTTCAAAGTAAGTTTCTAATAAAAGCCTACCTTTACTATTTGTGCATGCCCTAACTCTTTGATTGACATCTATCCTACAACCAAAACTAGAAGTCCAATATACTGATTTCTGGGTTTCTTATGTCCTTTCTTCCCTCTTTAATAACTCTCATGGAATCCTGGTTTATCTTCTTCACTGATGTCATAAACATATATTATTTCTAAAGCTTCTAGTCAGCCAATGAGAAGGAAGAGATAAAAAGGGAGCTAGCTGATGGATGGGATACTTATTTGGTTTGGACTGAGCTGTATAGTTAGTAGACAAGTAGGTCAGCTGGCCAGCTCTTTGAAGATCATCTTGGAGGCTCCAGAATGTCGGGGGAGACTAGAACCAAAGGAACAGAAAATTGTCCAGTTATACGCTCACAGCAGCAGAGGCCACAGAGGTGCCGTAATGAAAGGTCCCAACGTGCAGAGGAATTTCGGAAGCGTCGAGCCAAGAAAAATGAGGGAGACCCAGATATCGTAAAATCTCCCAGTGACCATAAGGAATACAGGTAATTATGGGATGACAGTAGGTATGGAGTGGAGAGTTGGTCTCTGACAGAAAGCCACTTGAAGAGACTAGAACAGTGTTTCTCAACCTTGGTGACTTTAAGTCCTATGGACTTCAACTCTCAGAATCCCCCAGCCAGCATAGCTGGCTGGGGAATTCTGGGAGTTGAAGTCCACAGGACTTAAAGTCGCCAAGGTTGAGAAACACTGGACTAGAAGCATTTGAAAGGTGGATTTACAGGCAGCTGTTACTTATAAGTTGGGCTGACAAAATTGGAAATGAGGAGGTGATAAGCTGCCTGGGAAAGCCAAGGGAAATCATCAAAACCATAAAAAAGTGAAAGTTAGAACATTTTGGATATGTGAGGCGACACCCAGAAAAATACAGCATACTTCACTTAATCCTCCAAGGAAAGATTGAAGGCAAATGAGGTCCAGGCAGAAGAAAAACATAATGGCTTCAAAATCTAACGGACTGGTTTGGACAAAACTCAAGCACTTTTTTGTGGGGCTGTTGATAAAAATAGGATTGCTAACATGATCGCCAACATCCAATGATGGATATGGCACAAGAAGAAGATGTTGGTATGGACAACTTGTCTTCTTCCAAACCAGCATCAGCATCATTATTATTGTTGCCTTCAAAAGACCACTGGACATGTGGCTACTATCACAATGAGGTTGAAAGTTTTCACAATTATTACTATTAATAGTTGTTTACTACATAGTTAGCAAGATGTTCAGGCTGGATTTGACATTTTTATTCACCTATCGAGTCCTTCCCAAGGACCTGGGATAGGCAGATGTGGTGGTTTGATAGTGTTAGAGATATTATCATACCATCAATTTGGTGTGGGTTCTTAGACACCACACTCCAGGCTTTCTTTTAATTGGAAAAAGGGTTTTTTTAAACAATAAGAAATAGATATAAGATTGAGAATTAAAATAATAATTTCCTTGGCCAATTAATTAATCTGTATGCTGATACATAATAATCAATATGAACTATCACTTCACCCACTTTTGTGGCCCTGGCGTGAAAAATAGGGAAGCCAGAAGGAATTGACTTAATTTTCTATTGTTCTTGAAGGCAAAATGCTTAAAAGAGCATGCATGCATGAAAGAGCCTGTTTCTTTTGGAAAGAAATTCTGGAATACAAGACATTTTGTCTGATTCACTATTTACCATTCAAAAGATATTTATTCACAACATTCATTCTCTCTGTACACACCTGAGAAATGGGTATTTTGAGTCCGTCGATATAACGGACAGTTCTTACTAAATACACCATAAAATATATTTCAAATATATTTGCAGGGGTTAAACACAGCTCGGTCATTATTTTTACAGGTACATCAATTTAAAAAATGGCATGAATGTGCTGTTGATTTCTGACTGGACCATTGATGATTGCACTTCTTCTGATGAATCGGACACTGAACTAGAGGATCTCCTAATATCGTCTGGAACAGATGAGGAAGAAAATCTTGCTACAAAAATTCGAGAAATGGAGAGAAATGATCGGAATATCAAGGAATCTGAGGATGGATCTCTGGATGGTGAAGTTGGAAGTGAAGGAAGTGGTGGTTTTGGAAGTGATAGTATTGTCGAAGTTGATCCTGAGGTGAGGGAAGATCATGATGACCCTGAAATATATGAAGAATTGGTGAAACAAGAAGATGAAAATAAGATGGGCAGTACAGAAAAGCAGGTATGTTATAAAATAACTTAGCTACTTATCAATCAATGAAGTGTAGTATTAAATGAAATAGATAAGTAATGACGTCTGTGTTTCGCAACCATTCAAAGTTACAACAGTATTTGAAAAAGTAACTTTACAACTGGTTATCACACTCATAGCTGCCATAATGTCCCCATGATCATGTAGTCAAGATTTAGCTGCTTTACAACCAATGGCCTTTTTAAGATTGTTGCAGTCATAAGATATCCATCTGGGTGCTTCACAGCCAACGTCTGACAAGCAGAGTTAATGAAGAATCCAGCAGCGAAACTGCAAATCTTGGTCATGTGATATCTCAATTAAGGACTGTGGGGGGAAAGTGACATTGTAAGTCCAGCACAGTCACTTGATGTCTCACTTAATGAACTTAGCAATGGAGTTGCCAGTCCCCATTATGGTCATTAAGCAAGCACTATCTGTAAACCAGTGGTGGGTTTCGGATCCCGTTGCAATCGGTACAGTTGGAATGGGCCCGGCATCGCCCACATGGACCTGTGCGGCGTGTGCGCACATGTGCTCAGGCAGGCAGGTGGGCCCTCCGGAGCACCGTACCAGAACAGTACCCAGTGCTCCGGGCAGGCTCCAGTACGCCCATATCGAGGCATACCGCCTGCAACCCACCACTGCTGTAAACCCATTTTCACCTCAGAATGAGCACTGTTGTTGAGACAGTAGCTTGAATTAATTATGTTATATCACAGTGAGCAATGCATTGTTTTCTAGCTGGTAGGTACAGCCTAATTATGTCATAGTTAACACATTTTGAAGACTAAGAGCGCAAATGGCAATGATCAGAGGTGGGTTCCTACCGGTTCGGACCGGTTCAGCCGAGTAGGTAGTAACTTGGCCGGTGATGCCCCTGAAATGCAGAATCATTTTTTTAACCTACTGTGCATGTGCGTGTAGCGCACATCAAGCATGCACACACCCAAAATGCATATCAAGTACATGCACACCTGAAGCGCATACCTGAGCAAACCGGCAGTAGAAGAAGCCAGAACCCACCCCTGGCAAAGATGTTATACAGACTCTAAACGTGACTATTTGGTGCTTGTTCCAAATAAATTTAAAAGTAATGTATGTGTTAAGCCCTGGATAAGCTTAATACTCCTATTTTTTCTTTATAATAGAAATTTTTGGAAAAAAAGCAAGGGTCTGGGTAGGGGAACTCTGATGCCTTGATGACTTCAAAAATGGCCTTGGAGAGTACATCTGCAACCCATGGGCCAGAGGTTGCAATGCTGCTGTCAAAACGAATAAAATGATAATCAGCATTCCTCAGTTACAACTTTGTAATAATTTAAAAAAGCTAAGGTATTATTTTACCACAGAGCCAGAAGCAAATGGGATTATTTGAAGCAGCCTGAATGCAGGATTTGAAGGGCTCATTTTGCTGCATACGTTACACATGTTTGCCTGCAAGGAACATTTTAAGAGTGAAACATAACAGCGATTTGTGTCTGCTTGCTTTCTTAGGGACAATGCTTGCAGTTGGGAATGGAATAGAATTTTGACAGAAGTAGGATTCCTTTCATGCTGGAAGAAGGCTGTGTTCTTTGGCTTTGCCTTGTAATGATTTCCCACTGTTTCTCCTTTCTATTTTGATTGCAGGCTGCAGCTGCCCTGGCTATTGGTGTTGGGAGTTTCTGTGACCCTGATGATTTACCTGGATTAGCTCATTTTTTGGAGCATAGTATGTAAAACCTCAAGTCTATCTACTGAACAATTAACAAAGAGACATTCCGTCTCTTCCTGTGGAATGTGTTGCTTTCAATACCAAATTATGTTGACATCCTCAGTACTGTTTAAATATTTTCTTTTACAGACTTAAACTGCTCTTAGCTTTATTNATATATATATATATGAAATTTCCATAATGTTCAGGCCAGCGTTGTATGCAAAGTTGTGGATTTTGCAGTGTGTCTGCGGTAACCTGATCAGAATTTCTGATTCTCCTTGACAGCTTCCCACAAGCAAAATCAGTGGGGAAGCCAACAGGAAGTCAGAAATTACTCCTGTTCCCACAACCCCCCCCTTCCCCATCCATGGTTATTCTGTTTATCTCTTTAGGTTAATAAATATTGAGGTGTTATTCAGATTTGTTTGCCACTGCAATTATTTTTCGATTTATGATATATATTATTCTTATATGATAGGGGGTATGAGATTAAAACATAGGAATATTTGGCTTTGTCTACTGAAAATAAGAACTAGGGGTGACATAATAGTTGTGTTTGAGGGGATGTCACAAAGAAGAGGGGGTCAACCTATTTTTCAAAGCACCAGAGGTCAGGACAAGAAACACTGGATGGAAACTGATCAAGTAGAGAAGCAACCTAGAACTAAGGAGAAATTTCCTAACAGTGAAGACAATTAACCAGTGGAACGGCTTGCCTTCAGAAGTTGTGGGTGTTCCATCACTGGAGGTATTTAAGAAGAGACAGGACAGCCCCTTGTCTGGAATGGTATAGGGTCTCCGGCTCAAGCAGGGGGTTAGACTAGAAGACCTCCAATCTCCCTTCCAACTCTTTTATTCTATTCTGTTCTGTAAATGAGCACAGAAAGGACCATCCAGCATTGAGGAGAAAAAATATGGCTGGCCTAACATTTAATGTTCTTTCTGGTCATGTTAGAGTGGTCACATCCCAAAGGATAGCCCAACAGATCACAGGGTAGTCTAACAATAATTAAAGTTGGTTGAACAGAAAGACCAACAATTACCTTGACCACTTGGATATCACTTTCTCTAATTTTTAAGAAGATGTTGGAGAACCATTTGTCTGAAGTAGTGTAGGTTTTCCTGCCTAAGCAGGGGGTTGGACTAGAAGACCTCCAAGACCCCTTCCAACTCTGTTATTCTATTCTATTCTGTTCTATTCTATTCTATTCTATTCTACTCTACTCTACTCTACTCTACTCTACTCCCTATCAAATAAGATTTATGAATGAGGTGGGTGTTTACTTTGAGTACCTGTCTTGTGGTTATTGATATTTTCCATGAGATTCTTAAATTTTAATCCAATAGTTTTGCAAATAGGTCAGAGTGGGAAAACTCAAATTTGAATCTCATAAAACCTTTAGCAATACTATTTCCTACAGCAGCTATTGAAAGGTGTAGCTACTTTCTCTCCTGGAGTTCTCTGCTGTGCTCAATTTTTCAATGGGTTTTCTCCACAAAATACACAGTTGCTGCTCTGTTACTACTATTACTGCTGCTGCTGCTGCTGCTACTACTACTACTGCTACTACTACCACCATATTCTCATTTTCTTTAATGTTTTAGAATCTTCTCCCTTCCATCCACAAGAAATGTAAATTATTTCAACTTAACAGTCTTAAAAGTAGCCATAGGTAATAAATAAAAATTATGATGCTACTTAATGAATTTTTAATGTTTCTTTCATTTTAATTCAATCTCTTGATATCGCAACACTACTGATGCAAGAGTAACAAAATTAGGGCACAGAAAGCTCAATGTAGTAACCCAAATGAGGTTTACTTGTTTCTATTTTTTAGATCAGAATGTTTTTATTTCACATTTTATCTTAAAGTCTACAGTGGAGATTGGCGAATGACAACTACTTTAACAGAATGGCAGAGTCAGAAGGGACCTTGGAGGTCTTCTAGTTCAACCCCCTGGCACAGGAAGGAAACCCCATACCATTTCAAAGAAAGTCATTTCATTTTATGGAGATCTGCAAAGCAAAGCTGTTCATTTAGGGAATGTGGTTTAATCAAATAATAAAATTCAGCCTCTTTCAATCTCAAAACAGTCGTGAGAATTTATCACTGCTTAATTGAATGTTCATCCTCGTGAGAATTTACCTTGCAAATTTTCAGGGTTTCATTTCTTGTGTTGCTTTGGTTATTCCACCACGTTCTCAGGCTGTTTGAAAAATATCCTCTCCATTTTTGGGGGAGTGGTGCTTTGAACTGATGTAATGATTGCAACTGACAAAGGCTGTTTCATCTATGGCCATCACTTTGAAGCGTCTTTGACTGATACACACCCATGACATCTAAAACGTGAGATATCTCTCAACCTTATGAAGTTTTGGACATTTAAAAATAAGTTAATTTGGAATAATCCTTGGGTTAGGAGGGATGCTGCAGAGAATTTAGGAAGAACATATCCAGGGATGTTGTAAGCAACAATAATTATCTTGACTTTTAATATCTTGTGCAAAATGGGTGGGGCTTTGTTGGGGTATACCCATTTTTTTCTTTCACTTTGTTGATCCCCCACTCTCTAAACAAGTGGCACTGCTTTTAACCTATAACTGGTATAGAAATAGGACTTACAGAGTTTTGTAGTTTATTTTGCTTGATTGGAGGGGAATTTATCTTTCTTGTGAAGGAAGATACTATTTAATTGCCCATACATCTATTCTATTCTATATCTCTATATAAAAAGACTGTATGTATGTATGTATGTATGTATGTATGTATGTATGTATGTATGTATGTATGTATGTATGTAT